CAGAACTCTTGAGTGCATTATGGATTAATGCGTCAGACTACAAAGTTGTGTGAACTGCCAGGTCTGTGGTTAAAGCTCACCAGCTGCTCCTCAGAAACCCTATACAGGATCCCTATGTGTTGGAACTGACTCGACAGCACTTAACAACAACAACAACAAATACATAAATACTAAATTGTACTTTAAAATATTAAAATCACATTAGAATTTTTAATCCTCACTTAATATTTTTAATCCTTATCTGGATTACTACGAAAGTTTTCTTTCAACTCTTCCAGGCTACCATGTGATCCTTTTCCAATTCATCCTTTCCACTCCTGGCAGTAAGGAACTCTGGTAGCGTAGTGGTTACAAATCCGGCTGCTAACCACAAGGTCAGCAATTCGAAACTACCAGCTATTCCGTGGGAGAAAGATGAGGCTTTCTGCTCCTGTAAAGATTTACAGCCTCAGAAACCCTGTACAGGGTCGCTATGAGTCGGAACCGACTCCACAGCAGACAACAACAACAACAACTCCTGGCAGTGCAATCTCTATAAAATGCAAATGGGGCCCTTTGGGGCCTTCTCAGACCTTCATAATGAAGTTCAGACTCCTCCACCTGGCAGATGGAACCAATCTTTGCTTATCTCAGCCTCCTGGTGTTGAAAGTGGGGGGCACTTCTACTTACCCTTTTCTCTAGCAAGTCCCCGTGTATTTTATGTTCTCTCAGCTCACAGTGTTTCCTTGGTTTGGAATGTCCTTCCTGCTTCTGTGCCTAACTGCTGTGTTTGCATGACTCACTCAAACATCACTTCCCTCTGGTATCATTTCCTAAGTCAGCTGAGTTTTGCATTCTTCTGTGTTCTCTCCCTCTATAACATATAACTTAAAGCAGCAACAACAAAATACTGGCTGTAAATGTGTCCACTGAATTATAATTCAATGGTTCACCTACTTGTCTATCTTGACATCTGGACTGTGAGCTCTTTGTAAGCAGGTATCATTTCTTTCATCTCTGATTACTAAAGCTGGATATAGTACTTAACACTGAGAGTGACCAGATGTATTTTTGCTGAATATGTATCAATGAATGACAAATAATTTGTTATGAACAGCAGTAATGTTCAAAGTATTTAATAACCAATGGTTGAGGCATATATCCACCATCTGTCAGTTTGTAGTACTGTGATGACTTGTGTGTTTCCACGGTAATATGAGTTCTACTTATCTTTTGTTGGCCTGGTTTGGCACTGTAGGTTAATTCACTGGACTACAAAGTTGGTTTTAACCGCAATGTGGGTGGTTCAAGCTCACCAGCTACCCCTCGGAAACCCTATGCAGGGTCACTGTGGCTCAGAACTGACTCAACGGCACCTAACAACAACAACAACATCTTATCTTTTACCTGAACTCTCCCTAGCAAATAGTTCTAAGAATATGTATTAGCTGCCTATTGCTGCTGTAACAAATAATTTCACTCAATGAATGGCTTAAAAGAACACAAATGTTTTCTTTTACCTTTCTGGAGGTCTAAAGTTTAAAATTAATTTTACATTTCTAAAAGCAAGGTGTTGATTGGGTTTATTCTATTGGAAACTACTAGGGGAGAACTGTTTCCTTGCCCTTTTCAGCTCCTAAAATTGCATTCTTTACATTCCTCAGTTCATGGTCTTGTACTCCATCTTCAAAGCCAACAATGTAATATCTTCTTTTCTCTCTGAACTCCTGCATCCCTCTTAGAGGGACTTGCTACTTTCACTGTGTTTGCCTAGATCACTCAGTAAAAACTTCTCATCTTGAGATCTTTAACTACATTTCCAAATTCCCTTTAGCCATGTAACATTCATGGATTATGCATATTAACATGTGGACATGTTGTTGTTGTTAGGTGCTGTCTCGTCAGTTCTGACTCTTAGTGATCCTGTACAGGGTTTCTGAATGTAGGACCAAGAAAAGACTCCATTCTGTACATTAGCCTGAACACGTCCTCCTGTTCCAGGAACATGCTAAATCAGCTCATACTGCCTTAGAATATCCTTTCACCCCTAGCAACAGCAAGAATTAGATAAGTAATAGACAGGACAACCCAAGGCCAGATGCCAGATGTTTTCCTTATCCTAGCCTAAGAACAAAAGACCACCAGTACTGACCAATTAAACTGTAACATCTCATACTTTGCCAAATGTCAACCAATCCAAATATTGCAAAGCTGAAAAACCTAAGCTTGTTTGAAAACTTTATAAAAACTCAGCTAACAAAGAGCTCAGGGCCTTTTCCCGAGTCCACTGTGCCGGATATGGAGAAGGCCCAAGCTCGAGCTTGAATAAACAACCCTTGTGCACTTGCATCGGTGTCGGCTCCTTGGTGGTCTTTGGGAACCCTGAATTCTGGGCATAACATCTGAGGAACAGCTGGTGGGTTTGAACCTGTGACCTTGTGGTTTACAGTCCAGTGCTTATCCTACAGAGCCACATCGAGAGTCTGTGGACATATTTGGACAATATGTGGACATTGTGGACAATAACAAGTTGTTGCTATTATGAGCTATTGAGTCAGTTCTGACTCATAATGACCCTGTATAGGGTTTGGGAGAAGCAACTGATGAGTTTCAACTGTTGACCTTATATCTTAAAATGACCTTGAGGTCAATTGTTTATCTGAAGGCACATGGCACATTTGTTGTTGTGGTTAAGTGCTGTTGAGTTGGTTCTGATTCATATGACCTTGTTTAGGGTATTTGAGGTGTGGCTGGTGAGTTTGAACCTCCAACATTATGGCTCAAACTGACCTTGAGGCCAAGTGCTTATCCTAGGGCATACTGTTGTTGTTGTTGTTGTTGTTGTTAAGTGGTGTGGAGTTGATTCTAACCCATATACACTCTGTATAGGGTTTCCAAGGAGCAGCTGGTGAGCTTGAACTGCTGACTTTGTGGTTCAAACCAACCTTGCAATGCAGCGAGCGCATTAACCCACAGCACCACAACAGAGCACATTGGGGGGGACGACATCATTCAGGCTACCACAGGGTATGCATTACTGTAGATCCTAAGGAGATGAAACCAAGGTAAAAGTCTGAGCAAAGACTAGATTTGTACCTGAGGCCACTTAGGAAGGGATTTTGTATAGCTCTGGGTTTGCTGCATGGTCTGGAAGCCAGGGAGGTGTAGGATCAAAGTGAGCCCATCCACTTGGTCCTCCTCAGCAGGCTGCCCTGCTCAGCCTGTAGTTGTTCCTTTAAAGCTCAGGACAGAGGGCAATGGCTGCGCTTAGGCAGGGTCCTAGGTTACCACATTTCTTTTCCCCTTCTGATTTGGCAATCAGTTTTTCTACTGCTATATCAACAAGATTTCTTTGGAGCAAAGCATGTTAGCAAATTGTCTTAGTCTATTAAAAGTTCCTTCCATCCCTGCCTTTTACTTGTCATGAAAGAGCTCCATTCCACACCCACTCATTGTTTTTAACCATCTTGACTTTCCCTTCCTTTGACTCTCTAATTTCATCCTTCCGCCACCTCTTCAGTGTTCTTAAAATACTCAAGATGTCACCTGTTTGTTGTGTTTTTTAAAAATATGCTGTCTAGTTACTAGCAAGGCATTCCTTAATACTGCATTATCATTAATGTAGTCCTTTTCTAATATTTCTATTTCAGTTTCAATTGTTTTCATCATTTGAAGCTTTCAGATTTTATTTTAAACTCAAATTTAAAATGATGCTTTACTGGTCTGCTCACATATTCTGTCTTTGAATTTTTACTGGATCTTGGCCATTGCATACAGAAGGATTTTACTTAATAAAATACTTCAAAGAGCTATTTTTCTCCCCTTTTAAGTTTAATTATTTCAAATATACCAACTCTCATCTATGATTTTACTTATTCTCATAAAGGTATGGAAATTTTAAGGGGATCATCTACGTTTAATACTATGATCATTTTAAAAGAATCATTAGGTTTCCAAAGAACTCTAGGAATGATTTAACAAGTTTCTTATGCAGTTTTGTGCTTTTGTTTTTAAAAGAGCTATTACACAATACAAAGGATCTAATGCAAAGAAAATATTATCTACAAATCATTTTAAAGTCAAATGTTGCTATTTCAGAGACTTTTCCTATAATGACCTAATCAGGTTATGATAGTATCATAGTATATGTGTCATTGAGGACAGATGTGTCTGTCTTGCTTATCACTGTACCTTCAGCACCTACCAGTGGCTGGATTTTAGCAAATAATTGTATAAATGACTGTGAGAATTAATGAGTCATGTAATTTCAGTATGAATTTTTTTAAATAAATATAAAGATGTTCAACATAAACCAGGCATCTAAATTAGAATATTGAAATACAGGTTTTTAACTTTTCAATCAGATTTGTATTCTCTCCCAGTCTATTCTGGTATGAGTAACAATTCATACCTTTAAGGGTGCTAACTAAACTATGTATATTTAAGATATTGGTGGTCTGTTTAAATACTTTATAAATTAATACATATAGAGAATTATATATGCTGTGTAGTTATATAGATATTAAAATACTAAGCATCTTTCTTTGTAAGTCAGTGTTGTTGTTGTTGTTATGTGCCGTGGAGTTGGTTCTGACTCATAGTGACCCTGTACAGGGTTTCCGAGGCTATAAATTTTTACAGGAGTAGAAAACTTCATCTTTCTCCCACAGAACAGCTGGTAGTTTCAAACTGCTGACCTTGAGGTTAGCAGCCCAATTTGTAACCACTACACTACCAGAGCTCTTAAAGTAATGAGAATTTTGAATCTAGAACAAAGGGATACATGTCTTATCTATCCTTTTCTTCTCATTCCTTTAGGAATTTTGTATTGGAATTAGTTCACTTTGATTTTGTCTAGTATAAGAATGATAAATATAAACATAATGTCATCAATATGAAGATATGGTATATAATTTCATAATTTCAAAATGTTTACATCATAGTTTTCTCTTTTTCCCTCTCTCATATTCTTCTCTGGTATAAATTTTACAAAGGATTAAAGATGTCTTTTTCATTACAGAATGGCTTCACTCCTTTATACATGGCTGCCCAAGAGAACCACATTGATGTTGTCAAATACTTGCTGGAAAATGGAGCTAATCAGAGCACTGCTACTGAGGTAAGGCATCATCCCCAAGACTCCGGTTCTTTGAACTGTATGTCCACATTTATATATATATATAAAATACTAAGATATATATATATATATATATATTCAGGCATATAAAATATCTATTACCTTGTCTAAAATGATGCATTAACAACATTCATGCTACTATTGTACTCTGCAGCAATGGTCATAGATGAATGGCTCGGGATTGTGCACATAGAGTTTATGCCTTTATTTTTTATTCATGTGAATTTACTTTCATATGAAATCATGATTCGATTAATTTGGTAGACTTTAGCTTTGGGGATATTTAAAAAATTCATAATTAAGTAATAGTAAATTCTCCTCATCTCTTGCAATTAATATTTTATCCTTTTTGTAATCCAAAATGATCCCTTAAAGGAATGCTTTTTAATGAACAGAAATAGTTGATGATATTAGTATCATTTCATAAGGAATTGTTAATGAAAAGGCTATCCATGTCTTTTGAAGCTCACATTATAATTGATGGTTGTCTTACATGATTATGACAATAACTAAATAGAGTGTTCAAGATTAATGCAGTTTCAAAAAAATTCAGATCATCTCGAAATGAGAAAAGAGGTTGAAGTGGGCAAGAATTTCTAGAAAGAACATTGCTTTCCCTTTCGTAAGCATGCCCGCCCATCCATGAGTAGAACATGGTTTCCATTTTCCTTCACAGTTTTGCTTAGACGGATTAAGGGAATGTTTAGCTGTCTATAATAGTGATTTTTTTCTTCTTCTTTTTTTCTCTTTTGTAAATGGTGCATTCAGAACAACTAGATGCCACCCAGTTACTACTAACAACTGCTCCGAATTAGAATCACATTAGAAGGTCCTGGATAGACGGCAGAAAATGTTGAGCAAAACTCAAAATTATTAAAAAAAAAATATCAGGTTATCTGATTAGAAAGATACTGGAAGAACCTGAAACTATGGTCTTTAGCCACTCTTCAGGTCTGGAACAAAACTCATCTCTGTGATTCAATTTCCAACCAAGCTATGGCTGAAGTCTCCTAGAGGGACTGTATATAGCGGGGAAAGCAACAGTATCTGCTCACCATGGAACCGTCAACCACTCAAGGTCAAAAGGATAACATTTACCTCAGGGCAAAGTTGAGAAAAGATGGAAAGGAAGGTAGAATGGAAATAATAACCACAAGGAGGAAGTGAAATAAGTTGTTTCTTGACAATTTTTCATACATTGAGCTGAAACAAAATGTATGATTTGTTGAATATAAAACTGATGATCTTCAGTCAATTCACAATACAAATTTCAAAAAAGGAAAAAAGAATGGAGCTTCTGGAACTCATGTAGTTGGAGAAGAAGCCTCAGGGGCCACGGGAAGGTTGGGGTTGGCTGAGTGTGGTAAGGTGGATGAGGGAAGGATTCCCTTGAGATGTGTCTCTCCCCTCCCCTTGCAATTAGAACATGCAATTATTTCATATTTGTAGCTTCACTAATAAAATAGAATAACTCCTGGCCTAAGAGAAAATGAACTGGTGGACACTTGTCATCCACAAACTACACAGTTGTTTTTAATGTTCACTGTGACTTCTTTTCTGGAAAATTAAGCCTTTTGGTAAGGTAAATATCAACTCCCTCCATTTTGCTCTGCATTTGATGTGGCATAATTAAACCTACTTGGAGTCCCTCTAGGAGATAACTTTGTATGCAACAACTTCTTGACAATTTTTCTCACTTGCTGTGGGTTAATGTGAGCTAGACTGCAAATATGTTTGAACTGCAAGCTTGGCAGTTCAAGCTCTCCTAGACAGGGTCACTATGGGTCAGAACCAACTTAAACACAGCAATAACTATTCTCACTCACTTAAAAAAAACAACACTATTAATGAGATTTCATTTCACTAAAACTAGCTTTCTACCCCAACTGCCCAATATATAAAATGATTTTAAGTTTTCTTTTAAGCATACATGGAGTGCTGGTGTGGTGTTTTACGATATGCACCTGACTGTTAACTACAAGGCCATTAGTTCAAACCCACCAACCACTTCTCAGAAACCCTAAACAGGAGCACTATGATTCAAAACCAGCTTGAAAGCACTTAGCAAAAACAACAACATTAAACCCACACAGATTGTATACTTCTGACACATAAGTGCAGTGTATTTATTATTATTATTATTTGGGGCCAATGTTTTCTGAGACACTAATACTGTCAGGAAGTTCTGGTGTGATGCTGTAGGATAAGCACTGGACTGCTAACCTCAAGGTTGGCAATTCAAACCCACCACCTGTCCCTCAGAAACCCTATACAGATTAGCTGTGAGTTTGAATCTATTGGATGGCACTTAACAACAATATTGTCAGTAAGGGGCTTGTAGATATCTTCAGGCAAAGACAGGACAACAATATGAGACTGGATCTCTGCCTCAGACTCACTGAGGACATGTTCCAAAGGAAGGAAATCTATGTTTATTTTATTTCCTTAAAGGCAGAATCTTTTACCAGAAAACAAAAACAAGCAAGCAAAAAAAAAATCTCTACATGCTATGGACTTTTTCTGCTTACCAAATAGAATCAAGGTTTCTAGTGTATGGTTTAGCAAACTTCAGCTCACTGACATTCTCAGGTGGTCGCTAAATCCTGAAGCACTTGAGTCATCATCTAGAAGCAGATCACCTTAGACTGTGATTCCATAGAAATTTAAAACTCCCTCTCTAATTCATGCAGCAACTTGGCTTTAGAAAATGAATCATAGGAGGCATTGAATTATAGCTTAGCCACATATACTTATTAATTATCTCATTTTAAAGTAATCTGAATAACTAAAACTATTTTTTCCTGATTCGATATTTATAAACTTAGCTGATTAAACCAATGCTCCTAGACCCTACGATTACCAAGAAGCACACATCTTCACAAACCTTTGTGTGTCCCTTTCAGTCTGTCATTCTGTGAAAAAAGTAATCTATTCACATGACAATATGGTTGATTGCTATTTAATATTTTGTGTGATCTCTCTGAATATTGTATAGAGTTTTGTGCACAAGTTTGTAAATAAGCCCAAAGGAGGCACCTACTCTGAACCTGTTGGTAATTCTAATTGGCTATAATCAATTAGTAATCAAGATATTGTGACCACTTAAAAAAAAACCACATAATTATAAGATAATTAAATATATTTATGAAACTCATGGCTAAAATAATGTTTAAAATTTGAAATTTCATACAATTTTAGCAATTTGTTGTTGCTGTTGTTAAGTGCTGTGGAATCGGTTCTGACTCATAGCGACCCTGTACAGGGTTTCCGAGGGTGTAAATCTTTTGAGAGCAGACCTCCTCATCTTTCTCCCGTGGAACCGCTGGTAGTTTCTAACTGCTGACCTTGCGGTTCACAGCCCGATTTGTAATCACTCCGCTATATATATTTATGAAATTCATGGCTAAAATAATGTTTAAAATTTGAAATTTCACATAATTTTAGCAATTAGTATTAGTAAATACCTGATAAAAGAAATGATGCTACCAAATTTGACCA